GTCAAGCCAAACAGGTGTACCTAATAAAGTGGCCAGTGGGTTATATTACCTTTAATTTCAATCATCACTAGCACATAAATCCTTCACATATATAATCAATTGTCAACTTTGATTAATTCAGTTAAAAGGACTATGTTACAGTCCCTGATAATGCATCGCTTTAGATGGAGAGACTCTTGGGGGATGGCTGTTACGAGTGAAGGCAACCCAGACACTTTGCCAGCAGCACACATCGTTGTGTGCCTCAACTTTCGGTCTTTTACCCAGGCGAATCTGCCATTTTCCTTCCTTGGTTAAGTTTAGGGATTAGAGATCGATCTAGATTATCATTTGAAGTTTGGGACACATCATCACAAAAATACAAAAAATGCCTGCAAGTATTTCAAAAGCGTGTTACACATTTCTCCTATTAATATCAGTTCAGGATTCTTTGAGTGTTTCTTTTACAACGTTCCTGCCAACAATGAAAGTGTTCACTGGTATCAAGAAAGTTTTACTTGGCAAGTCTCAAACTGGAGAATATAAACTTTAATGCTGCACCTGAACCGGTTTTGTGGCTTCTGCTAAATTGTCCACATTGAGAAGATAAGCTCTGGTTGAAACGGTTTCAGGTTCAGGTATGACTCAACTGCTTATACAGAGCGCTGAGCGTGATTCATTAACCCACGCCTCCGCCGCACAACTGTGGGACACTATCAGTCGGCTGCAGTGTGAAGTTATAGGACAACTGGACTAAGTGGAGAAAACTCTCCAACTACCAGGATGAACGGCGTTGTTGCAAAGAGACACTCACACACAAACACAAGACTCTTCTGTTCAATAAACCTTTTTAATCTCAACAGCAAGTTAGCTTATGTGTGGTCAACATCAATGAAGGTAAATATAAAACTGGATTTCTATTGATAGATTTTTTGTTGTCAGCAGGAGGTGAAATTATACTTGGAAACACATCAACTAGAATCTTCATGACTGTAGTCTTCCACTAGAGAAATATTGCTATAATACTTTTAAATGGCATACACTGATTGACCAATAAGAAAAAAAAAAAAAGCAAGGTAGAGAAGCTGACAAAGAAGCTCCAAAACTCCACACGGTGGGTCGTACAGGGAAACTTCTGAGCGACTTTGGTTTTGTACCTTTGTAAAACCTGGCTCTACTTACTTTCAGAAAAAAGAAGAAGAAAATAATACAGAAGAGAAAGAAATAATCATCGTAAAATAAACAACAAAGAAAAGGGTCCGACAGGAAGTATTGGTGCTATTTCAAAATCAATTTAGACTGAAAATACGAAAAAGTAAAAGGCACACTGAACACTATTCACGTTTAACACAAAATCCGGTGCAAACCGAGCGCGCGCCGACGATTCATTACACCCCTAATCTGTACACAGAACACGTCATAATAAACTCAAACGTGTTGCTTTTTCTTGAATTAAAAACAACATTTGAAGAAAGTGTTACTACATCAGGTCTTTTTTTGAAAGCCTTTTTTTTCTCCGTTGTCATTTTGTTTCCATTATTGTTGGGGAAGAGAGCGGAGAAAAAGGTGTCTCCTTACAGATCTGCGGTTCGTTTTTAATCTGCAGGGGAAAAAACAAGCAGAGCAAAAACGAACCCTTCCCACCTCCTCCTCTCTCGCTACATCTCTTCTTCCCCTTTGCTGTCAAAGTGCTCCAGTATTTCAAACTTCCACAGATCATCCTGTAGCCGTTAACAAAATGAAAAACAATTATCGCAATATTCACTTCAAGGAGAAATCCACCCTTTAATGCTCTTGCACCACCATTATTAACAATCTAATGCTCTTCAAACCTCAGAGTAATTATTTCATTGTAAACAAAGCTCACACACTTCAGCGGACTTCATTCTTTCTAAAGGACAATTTCAGCATGACCCACAAACTGGGTGTGAGCTTATTTGCGTCAATAAAATGTGGGCAGATAACACCATAAACACATCCAGCTCACGGACTAGTTTTGTAAAGTCAAGGGTGGGACTGTTAATGCAACCACAAGACTTGTTTTGCAACAGGTCTTCTAGCTTCAGTGCACTCTGGTCTATTGAGGCCATTGTTTCTGAAGGTGATATCTTTGCTCATTTGACTGTTAAATGTGGAAAATGGTGACTTACTACGCTCTCTCTTAAATCCTGAGGGACTGACGTCAGAACTCTACTACAGTGTTTGCTATAGAGGTGGCATTATTCAAGTAAAGGGTTCTCAAAATTTTGTGCCCAAGGACGCCAACACCATTTTAATCCAGTCTGATCTTGGGTTCGCTGGATGATGTTGGGTGACTCATTTCTCCTCACAGGCTAATAAGCCAAGCTACCTAGCAGCAAGAACAGGTCGTTGCAACCTGAGAGAGGTGACTTCATGACAGATGTGTTGTGTCAGAGTCTTTCGAAGCTTCTACTGGCTAAAACAAAATGTGGGAGGGAATGAGGCTTGTCCACATCAGTGGTGCTCTCTTGTTTTTAACGATACACCACAATTCTACTGCGAGAACCAGAGCGTGAGTTAAAGAAATGAGGTTTGTCACCCTCATTACTTGAACGCTGCCTGTCATGTTAAATGTTCTATGACCACAGGTTGCGTGGGGGGCGTGAGTGTATTCCCTGCATTAGATCAATCAAGTCAACTGCATTAAAAACGTGGTTGGTTTTGTTGCTAGCAGACTGCAGCGGTCTCTGATGCCGACATGTCTGCAAATACCCACTACCAGCTGAGGCCTACTTAAGCGGAAAGATGTACGATGCAAAGAAGAAATGGGGAATATTTTGCCTTCAAAGTGAAAGCCATCGTGTTTCAACTATCTCCTTTTCTGGTCTGCATCACACCTGCAGCTGGCGAGCATCTGTGGACAATTTGCCGTGTACCATGCAAACTACAGGCGACCGTGGTAACCTGCTAGCAGCCAAAAATATCGCAAAGCTTTGGGCAGGGCATGCGCATTTTTCCTTAGTAACGCTCACTGACTAACTGAAACGTCTTGAAACCTGAGTGAATGACGGCCTAGTCACTGGACCATGATTGCCACAGTGACAGGTTAATGTCAGTATCTGGTAAAACCTCAATAATATTTGAGTTTTGGACAGTTGATGAGAAATATCAATGAGCTGGGTCGTGATACTTAAAGCAAGATGAGCATTTTTCCACTGCCACTCAAAAAAACCAAACAACTAGATGGCCAATGAAATAATCAGCAGATTGTTTAATTGGTTAATTAATTACAGACGATCTGCTGTGGAACAGTGTTAAAGCATTTTAGGATGGATTTTCCTTTCAGTCTTAACCAACACTGCAGCCCCAGTTGGTCCACATTATTTTAACTGTCAAACCACCTTCTTCACTCCGGGTCAATGACGTCCACAACGCGAGGGGGACTGCCTCGTCTACAAACACTTCTAAAGGCTAACTCATATGACCACTGAAGGTGACAGTGTAGCAGATGGTCACAGTCCTATTCTCTATTATTGTGATCATTTTTCAAAAAAAAATCATCATAATCATCTGGCAGAGAAGATGCGTCTGTGTTTTTCAAGTAGATTGAACACAGTCCGAGTGCTGTGAAGAAATTAAAAACAAAACAAAACAAATATATAATCTCTCATTCTTGTTGCTGGCTTGCTGTCAGTCAGAGTGGTGGTGAGCCAACAGTCAAGATCCAGTGTGTGCTGACTGATGTTCTGCTAACAGAAGCCTTAGCGTAGGAGAGAACACATTCTTTAATAAAATCTAATGCAGGGGGCTCTTTCAGGGGTCGTTTCATTGTTATAAACATCATCCATGATTAAAAACAACACAGTGGCATGACTGGAGCATTGAGGATGTAAACCAGAATTAATCTAAAAGCTACTACTGCACTGTGTTATTCTGAATAAAGCTGTCAATACAGTGTTTGTCTAGTTCAGCAATGATAACAAATGCTGTGAAAATTATGAATTCTGGATTGTGCAAACACACCGACGCACACGCACGCACACACACACACATTTACACCGAGTACTGTGCAAAAGGTTTCAGGAACTTTCAATTCAATTGTTTCGTTTCTTTGCCAGCAGGGCGGCCCTGATCTCCATCGCTGAATCAGTATGACGTAAAAAGTCATCGCGTTCTCCAAGATGCTCGCAACAACCTACCTGCCAAGTACCTGGGAAGGTTGCGTGCGAGTGTACCAAAGAGAATCAGTTCTGTTTTAAAGGTCGAGGGCGCTTAAACCCGATTTAAAGCCTAAAACTTTTGCACAGTACCATCCAAACAGCTGTTTCCGAGTTCGTCCCTGCACTTCTGTGGAAAGTAAGCGAGAGATTATCTCCTGGTTACATCATCGGCTCAAGTGATGTCACTTCTGATGACACGGAGGGCCCCGGGAACCAATCAGAGCTGGCTGTACTGGTGAGGCTATTTTCATTCACAAATCCCCCTCCATATTAAGGATTAATATTGCTTCAGTATTGCCACAAAAACAAAAAACAAGACAGAGTAATATCGACTGTTTCACATCGCAGCTTCCTGATCCTAACGTTTTAATTACGTCAGCCCTCATTTATCAGGCACACGCATGACCCACAATTCAACTGTTAAACAAAGGTGTAGCCATTTCGTCGCAAAAACTGATGGTCATCTCCGCCAGTACAATAACAGCTGGAGCTGTGTGCAGCTGGATTGAATGATAAAAAAGCAGTTCAGTAGTGTAAGAAAATCAGGATCAGTAGTTACAATGAGCTAAAAAAATGCATATCACACATAGCTTACATTAATATTCTCATTAGTCAACCCACGTAATAGCTTGGAGACATGGTTAAAAGCAAAAATGTAGCAGGTTTAGGGTACGGTTTAGGTACTGAGAGGTTTAATGTATAATGATAGTGTTGGAGCCTATGCATGAGAGCCATGTTGGGCTTTGTACATTAGTGTTTAAATAACTTCTATAACTGCAAAAAAGCCAAAAACACTGTGGGCATCTTCATGGTACCGTGATAAATGAGGGCCAATTTCTATTTTCTTTTTTACAATATTTTTTTTCTAAAACTACCAGTTTCTTAGAAGGAGAAAAAAAAGTCAAAGTGTTTTGAGAACCAGTCTATTGTTGTTGATGGTGTCCTGTTTTAAATACAAAAAGCACTGCCAGCCATTGTGCTTTTGGTTGCCACGCAGTCGGGTCTTAAATGAGTTTGCTTCCAAACCATAGTTGACTCGCTGCGCTCCATCGGCCTCCGGGATGTGCGGCATCCCAACCCCCCCCCATTGGGCTGCACGGCGCAGTACTCACACAACGTACGTGACAACAGCAACCTCGCCGAGTCAGTACGGTGAAACTCCCGCTGTGCCACATACCGGGCCTCTTCCTGCCTCACAGGGCTGATGAGAACGAGAACAGAGGAGACGAGGGAGAAAGGGAGGTAGGTTAAGGGAGGATTCTGGTAGAAAGGTCGAGGTTCGTCACAACTAAGAAATGAAGTTTGTATTAGTTGCACAAAAATTAACACTTCCTTCCCTTGTTGCTACGCTTATGGCCTCCACTTACATCTCCATTCTCTCTGCTCTCAATGCTGTGTGGATTCTCATTTCTTAATACTGCATTCTATAAAGCCCCTCAGCTGGCTTTAGTTGACCAGTACGAAGCCATGCTGCGAGTCCACAGTCTCCATCATCTCACTGTCCAAGAGAGAGCCCTGCAGCTCAGGTAAGCCCAAGCCGTCAGACTGCCCAGAAGCAGCCAAAACTCCACCCATAACTCCGGTATTAACCTCTCCTCCAGCAGGTGGGGGCAGGCAGGCGGGATCCAGTGAGAACTCGTACTGCTCTGGCAGAAGAGCCTCAGTGGAGGGCCCCAGGACCTGCTCGCAGCTTCCAGGGTAGCTGAAGCCCAGGCTGCTGGCAGCAGCTTCATGAGGCTGAGGGTGGTGGAACTGGTGGTGGAGGTGAGATCCTGGAGGCAGATGTTGGGTGTAGTGGTGATGGGTCATGTAGGCATCATAACCCAGGGCCTCGCCTGGTTCCATCACAGGGCTCAGGTTATGAGCGTGGCTGAATGGAGGTGAGGCCTGAGGGCTGCCCTGCTGCTGGGCCTGAGGCTGGTGGGTGGCTGACATGGGGGAGCCCTGAGGGGAACTTTGGGATGCCGCTGGGTCCAGCGGAGTGCTGCCTGTTGGGTAGGATCCTTCATCAATCTGCATCTGGTTGAAGTAGGTCTGCAGCCCCATGCCTTGTGATTGCTGCTGCAGGTACATCCTCTTCTGATGCAGTCTGCCGGGAGAACAGGTGTAACTCAATTCAAGCAAGATAACACTTTGAATCAAGACAAGTTGAAACAAAAATTTTCCAGAGCACAAAATATAAAACCCCAATTCCCCAAAAAATGATGGCGCATCGGGTAGAATCTAAAAAACAGAATGCAATGATTTCCAGATCTCATAAACCCATATTTCATTCACAGCAGATCATAGAAAACATATCAAATGTACCACTTTAAGAGAAAAATATTAGTTCATTTTGAATTTGATGGCAGAAACATGTCTCAAAGCTGGGACAGGGCCATGTTTACCACTGTGTAGCATCTACTCTTCTTTCAGCAACAATCAGCAAACATCTGGGAACTGAGGAACACAGCTGCTGGACGTTTGGGGCAGGAATGTTGTCCTGTTCTTGATTGACACAGGATTTTAGATGCTCAACAGTCCTTGGTCTACTTTGTTATATTTATTGTTTCCTGATGTGTCAAAGGTTTTTAACCAATGAAAGGTCTTGACTGCAGGCAGCACCCAGACAATCTGCTATGAAGTGACGCTGTTGTAATAGATGCAGAATGTAGTTTAGCATCATCTGGCTGAACTACCGAAGCCACATGTTACCTGTATATACCTTCAGCACTGACGATGCCTTTCCAGATGTGCAAGCTGATCATTCCAGAGGAACTGATGCATACTATCAGAGATGCAACGCTAATAAAACTCACGTATTGCTTCATCTTTGTATGATGCATTTGTTTGCATGGTGAACTGTGTTCATGGACAATGGTTTCTGGAAAGCAGTCTGAGCCTATGCAGTGATTTTCATGACAGAATCAGGCCTGTTTTTAATGCAGTGCCATCATCTGGGGCCCAAACCTCATCTCTTGCGCACAGAGATTTTTCCAGATCTCTGTGCGTCTTTTGAAGACAATATGTACTCTATGATGATATATGAAGTTTCCAAATTTCTACACCGAGAAACATTATTCTGAAATTCCACAATTTTTAGATGCTGTTTTAGATGCTGATCTTTACTCAACCTATCTAAAATGTTCTTTTTATGCCCAATCATGTGACTGACCTGCTTACATTTAGCTGAAATTGTTGCAAAATGCTCCTCAAGCTGTTTTTTAAAGCACTACTATACTTTTCCAGCCTTTTGTTTCCTCATATCACCAATGTTGCAACCATCAAATTAAGAATGAGCCAATATGTTGTTATGAAATGATAAAACATCTCAAGTTAAACATCTAATCATTATTGCTCATGCGTCACGATTTGTTAATCAAATCAAAATGATCGGCTGTATTTGGTGACAGTTGAATAACCAATCAAGCAATCTGAGCTTAGTAGATGTCGCACAGAAGACACCGTGTCTCTATATAGCCGGATACATGAAAAATAGCAAAAGAAAAATGGTTGGAAGCATGGATGAGATCATCGTGGCAGTAGAAATTGTCTACTTAAAGGTATGACAAGTCCTACTTTTCTTACTAACAGTGCAACCCGCCTTATCCAACTACAGAAAAAGTCCAGGGAAACAAACAAACAAACAAACAAAAAAACAAGCTTTATTCCTGGATTCCTTGTTTTTAAAACAAAAGAAGTTTAAAAATTTAGATTGAAAATTATTTTTGCTTCAAATCTCAACAGGGAAAGACCACCACAGCTACGCTAACACAACAGCAATAAAGAAAATCCCTGATAATATTTCATACAGTGAAAAACATTTTCCAGTGCCATTTACCTGTGTTCCTGCAGCTGTTGCTCTAAACTTCGAGGAGTCTCCTTACAGAAAACCTGGCAGCTAGCAGGACTGTTGGCCAAGACGTTGGCCTTCTGGGTACAAGAGAGATTTGGACTGATGATTGGGTTTGAGATAAATACCTTGGTAACGATCTTAACTTTACAAATTATATCACTGAACGTTACGCAAAACAGTCATTTGGCTCGATAAGAAACGTCTATCAGGTATAAATACAGGCATAATGAGAGTAGGTTGTAGGAGACTGTACCTGTAGTCTGTGTGTGAGGTAATGTGTCTCCAAACTCTGTCTGCGGGACAGCAGAGGCGGCTGCGGCCCACCTTGGTATAACGCTAGGCCTTCCTGCTGCTTGCATGCTTCACCCTTCAATCAAAAATATGAAGCATTAGGACAAGGGCCGAGATCCCCTCTGCTGCCGGTTAATAAAGCTTTAAGTGAATTATCTTTGCTGTCTCCTGCCCAAATGCCTGTGTGGTGACTGATCAGCCAGATGCCTTGCTCTAAATGGCATGCACCATTGGGATTACACATTAGGTAAATGAAATGAAAGCAAATTAAAAGGATGATGGGGCCTGAGCATCATAACCAACAAAGAGCTGCTTCATTGCATTATGAGAGGTGGACAAAAGGAAAACTACTAGATCTTGTCGGCCAGTACGACTAATTTTGCTTGCTTTTTCTCCCCTTGCATTATTACACTGTGCTTGTATCATTTAGTATCAATGTGTGCCTGTCTTTTTGTGTCAATGCAGTTCCAGCCACTACTATGGGTACGTCTGGCCGACTGCAACAATGGCTGTATTCTTTTTAGCCAAGGCTCCAGGCTCCAGGCCCCAGGGGGACAGGAGACAGTAAACAAGCCACAGTTGGCTGCCTCTCCTGGGGTTACACAACAGCCTGGGTGAGGTTTTTTTTTTGTTGTTTTTTTTTTTTTTGGTGACACGGGGTCAGGACAGTAGATGAGGCTGAATGTGACAACAGGTTTTGAAAGAGAAGGAACTGTGTGTGTGTGTTTGTGCGTGATTGTGCAGCAGGACTGACCTCGAGGAGGTTGTGCAAGTGGTGCTGTGGTCCCAAGGGGTCCATGGTGACCCCATCCCCAGAGCCCATCTGCTCCACCAGCAGCTGGACTTTGTTCAGCTCCAGGATGCCTTTGGTCCTCGCCAAGTTCTGAAGGTGCTGCCGAAATGCGACTAGACCTGAGAGCACAGACGAATCCCCACAAAACAGAGTCAGCATTGATTTGTGCACCTGATCAATAGAATCACTCTTTTTTTATTTATTTTTTTTATTTCCACAACAGGAAGTCAAAGTTTCGAGCCTTTCTCAGAGCCAGGCTTAGCAGTCACTGACGCAAGCAAGCTGGTTGACTGGTTAGCGCTTTTCATAGCCCTTACGAACATTGTGCTTGCATGCACGTCACAAGCTGCGGCTCCTGTGCGTTTGTGTATGCACATATATGACAGCATCTCCGTGTGAGCGCTTGTGTGTGCTCAACGGCAAGTAGCTGAGATAAGACCCATCCAGTGGTGACGAGCTGTGGCTGCGAACGATAGGACCTGACTCACTGTGATGGTGGGAGTTATTTAAAACCAGAGTCAGCAGTCTGACGCAAAAGAATCCACCACATCAACACTCTCCAAAGAGGATTACGAAAAATAAATAAATAACTGACACAACCAAGTGGGAGCGCGCAGTACAGACTGTCACCGTGGAGCCAGGGAAGAAACACACATTTCTGAAATGTAATTATAGATTCTACTGGGCTAAAGTGCAGGTGATTTATAACCAGCAGGCACAGAATAAAGTAGCAGCGAAGGGTGGAGGAGGCGGGGCGAGAAACAGAGGTAGATAGTTGTTTAACATTCTCTTATATTTTGGCTTCTCTTTGATGTGAAGGGGAAACAAATCCTGCCTGCCGCAGACTGAAACTTTGAATAGAGAAAGAAAAGCAAGCCAGGGAACGAGTATGTGAAGAGGGAGAAAGAGAGAGAAAATGACTGAGGATGGGAGGGGAGGGAGGGAGGGAGGGAGGAGGGGGGATATGTGGGCTGAAACCTTCAAATATCTGTCTCTGATTCATAAGGTGAATCATCACCATTGTAGTCATCAGAGAAACTGGGGGGAGGGGAGGGGGGGAGTGTGTGTGAAGGGGGGGGGAGACAGTGAAGCACTTTTATCTTAAAGCAGTATATACCAATCAGATACAACAGAGAATCTCATGACTGTGGCACCTGTCGAAGAGCAGGCTAGATGAGAGTTATGTAAAGTGAAAGTAAAACCTTCAGAGGTCTTATGAAGTCAAACAGGTCAGAGCTGCTGAATATTAGGCCAGCGCTTTTAATGTTGTATTCCCAATGGATTCCAAAGTAAAGGAGGTTGTCATCACTGGGCTTTGTAAAATCAAACAGGCCTCTGAGAGAAATGGCAGATGCTTAAGGAGTGGCCAAACAAACAATTTGGCACATTCTTTTAGGGAAGTCTACAGTCAAGAAGTAAATAGAGGGTTTACCTCAACATGGAAACAACTGGCGGCACTAAAAAGAAAGACTAGATCAGATTTTCTTGAAAACCATTAAACAAGCCTGCCCAGTCCTGCAATCAGTCAATCAATAAAATCTACAATGCGTACAACAGCTTCCGTAGAATATGGTGGAGGCTGTGTTTGCAACATGGGAATGCAAGAGTACCAGTTTAAACCTTAATTGACCATGGGACCACCGGCGGGCCCATTTTACAGGTAAATTTGAAGGGCCGGTCAATAAAGGGTTAACAGGAGCTATATTGTCTGCTTTGTTTCAGTCAAACGCCACAGGGGTTTCATCGCACACATGAAAAACTGTCCAAAAGAATACTGCAAAAGCAATCGGAGAGCGCTGCAAAACTAAAATAAATAAATAAAAGGGATGTTGTTAAATGTCTGAGTCAGTCACCTGACCTTAACCCAGCCGAGCTGCTTCAATTACCGAGGACGAAAGTGAGGGAAAAAAAGCAACTAAAAAAACAACAAGCAGCTATTGAAGGAAACTGCAATAAAGACCTGGCAAAGCTTCACATGGAGGAAACTCAGCTGGTAATGTTCCAGACCTAATATTTGAGTCCAAGTAGGAAAAAATAACCCTTATATTTATAATTGTCTTAGTTTGCACAGCTTCTACAGAGCCTGTGAAAATGGAATGACGTTGTAAAAAATGGCTTTGACTCCTTAAAAGGTTAGCAGAAGATTTTTGATAAAACCTTTGGATTAAAGCTCACAGTCTCCGTTTATATCAGATGTTGATTGCTTCATTTTTATTCCATTCTGGTAGTATACCAGGAAAAATCAGGAAACATGGGCCAAACACTTAAACACATACTGGATCTGAATATGCAGAAGGAGTCAAATCCACCTTAAAGGGGCACTGGACTGTTTTTCTGCTGCACACAAAGCTGCAGTTAAAAGTGCAAAGTGCAGCAAAACTAAATAAAATATTAAGGTAGGTTGGCTACATAAATACTCAGGTGACCTGAGTTTGGGTGCATGCATTTAACAAGGAATATACACTGTATTTAATCTTTTATGAAGCAAGTTAAGTCAAAGTTATGGCTGCCTACTTTAGCTCCCGACTGTTTAAAAAAAGAATCTGCTTCTCAAAGGATACAGATCACTAAGTAATGGTTTTAAAAAAAAAACAAAGAAAAAGAGAGAAATCCAACTGCTTCTGACCTTGGGTAAGGGAGGTGTCGGAGGCACGGCGCCCTTCCCTGAAGCTGATTGGGGAACGGTTGTGGGTCTCCCTATACTGGGAAGTCAATGCAGCCATAGCTGGGTTGGCAGGCCTGGCACTCAAGAAAGATGTAGGGGTAACACCAGGGGGAGAGCTGTTGGGCGGAACGACTTCACTCAGCGAGGGAGGATCCTCCAGCAGACTGAGATCGCTGTGCATCGAGCCCATGTCGTAGCCAATGTCCGAGTCCACGCTACCCATGGAAGGATTTTGGCCTAAAGTGAATAATTTACCTGAGGGATGAAATATTTTTTCCACATCATTACAGAGATCGTGATAAACTGTTTCATCTGAACACTGTGTGTCTGCTACCAAAGGTCAATCATACCCTGATTCGAAGGTCCTGGCTGGTTGGTGACCTCAGACAAGGTGTGTCGCCGCTGGCCAAATCGAGCTGTCTGATAGGCCGAGAGCAGGTGAGGCGGATCATCCTCTGTGTCGGGCTCCTCTGTTTCAATGCCCTCATCAATGGATGTCTCCATCATGTTGCTAGGCGATGAGGTGGAGGACTTGCGCAGGACAGTGGGGGGAGGTAGGGGGTCCAGCAGGCAGCCGTTAACCTAGATAGCAAAAGAGAGAAAATTCTGGATTATTGACTTAAAACCACTGAAAAACTGAAGTTATCAGTTAAAATCACGCTTCTTAAATATGCACAAGGTTCACAGACACACACAAACATGACAAAACCTTCAGCTGCAATAAAAACTCGGGTATAAGAAAGCCGATCACTGTGCTGAAAACTGTTTTCCTTCCACTCACAATGATGGGAGTGTGTGTTTGTTGCAGCACACAGGCCTGTATGTGTTGGCCTAGAGGTGGAGGGTAAGGAATGCAGTGCCAGGAAGCAAGCTTTGATTCAGTGAAACTGACACACGCACACATACACAGAGGGATAAAAATCACACTCATAGATCATCTGCATGATTTGCTGCAATAACTGGAATGCGTGGTGTTGGTCTAGTAAGAGCAGCTTTGCCCAGTTCTCCATCTGCTTTCTGTAGTGTGCTGGGATAGGAATGTTATTGCTCAACAGACACACTCACACACAGAGGACAAGAGGGGAAAACTAGACTGAGAAACAGGCAAAAGTGTGTGCGTGTATGTGGAGGTTACGATGAAGAGGGGAGAGACATGAAGCTAAAAGGAAAAGAAAAGAGTGAACCAGAAACAGAGAAGGATAAAGAAAGACAGAAGCTTAAAAAAAGAAGAGATGAGCTGTCTGCGGATGGGTAGGAAGTCTGGGCGGCGAGATCGCTGGAGCAGTGCAGAAGCTTCCTGTCCATGTGTGTTCACTCAGTTCTGCATTAGGTCACATCATCATCACAGGACTGCTTACATAACTGCACTCCATTCACGCAGATAACACGCACTCTGACTCTCTGCCCTGTTCTGTTACCACAGACTGTCTCACACGCACAAATCATTCTTTATTGGAGCCAGGCGTGCAGGTGGGATGGATAAGAAACTTTGACCGATACTGCATGTATCTGTATTTGTTCTTCCTGGATGCCTGTTGTTAGGTGGGGGCTCTGGGTGTTCCTAACAACAGGCATGTAGGAAAGTGCCGTTGGATAGCTCCGATGAATAAAGAAAGAGGAAGAGCAGTTTGTGTGTGCGTGTGTGTATTTCTGTCAAGGAGCCTTGCAGGACAAGCAGCTGTCCTGTCTGATGTGAGTGCTGGTTGAGTACTTACATAAGAGGATATTGTCAGCTGCACTCTGGCAGCTCGTTAATTGCAAAAATTGGAATCTGTGTTATCCACGGTTAACACTAAAATCACAGCGATTTGACATGATTACTCAAAAATGATGCTGAAAGCTGTACTTTTCATTACATTTAAATTTTTATTAAAAATCTAGTAAAAAAAGGTGCAGGTGGTATAGAACTCAGGGTTGATGTGGTGAAGGTAAGGCACAGGCAGGTGGGGATTTCTGACTGCGAATCTCTTCTCACAAGAGTAACAAGAGGCCCGGGGAGAATTGCAGCTCTCGGGAGATCTGCACGAAGTCACCGGAGAGCAACATAGCGTTTCCAAAGGTATGGAAACTTCCTCCAGATAGACCTTTGTTGACCGAAGGCTTTCTTTCCATCATGCTGACTCGAGCTGAACTAAACTGTGAGCAAGTCTGGCCTTTTAGGAAGGGGATCAAAGCACACTGCTTTAAAGAAAAAGGGATGATCTGGATTTATAACATGAGCCAGAAGACTGGGGGGGAAATATACCTGTATGAGTATTGTGCTGCATTTATTTTTTCCCCCAAAGTCATTGGAAGCCAGGATTGTAACTGAAAATAAAATGTCTTTTAATCGCCTAGCCCTAACACTGCCAGGCTGCAGATGCTCAAAACTTCAAAGGCGTCTGGTGTACACACACACACACACACACACACACACACACACACACACACACACACACACACTGAGGTGTAGAGAGACATTTCTGATTTACAGCGAGCGGGCATGCTCATCAAAGCATGGCAAGCTTATTGGGATGATACTTGCAGCAGCTGATAATGACTGTAATAACTACAAATTCAGCAACTAAGTCGTCTCATGTGAGCGAGCTATAAAACAAGGACAGTGAACAAACAAGGAGATGCACAACAAAACAAAAATACATCCCTATTTACAAAGACACAACTTGTTTTTACTAGTGTTGAACGTACTTTGGGTGTGTTGACATCCTCCACCATGAAAGTCTGCTCCAGGGGAGATGCAGTCTGGGGAAAGGCGAAAGCATCAGAGGATGCTTGAGGCACAGCAGGAGAACGCAACAAACGACCGCCCTGCTGGAGCAAACCCACCTGGGCGGAAACACTGGTCGACTGTGGAGAGGGAAAAAATAAAGATGAGTCTTAGAAATTACATCAAAACCCCTTAATTTAAGACCAGCTCATAACAATATCCTTCTTAAACATGTAACTGCGACAAAATACGAGGGGCTGTAAATCTTTGCCTTTACAACGCCAACCAGAAAGGAAAGCTAGGTCCTACATGGTGATGGAAATGAGAGAGGAACTGCAAAGTGCTGGTAAGAAGAGGCCGTAGGCAGAGAAAAGAAAAACATGAATAATGCAACCAAGGGAAAGGCATTAAGATCAAGGCTGGGTAGAAAAGACTGCAAGAGAGCACACGAAGACACGGACAAATAAATGGATGGGGCATGTCTTTCCGTTTGTTTGTTCCTGGGTGCAGGTGTGAATAACAGAGCTTTGATCCGGGAGGCGCGGAAAATAATCTAAACGCATTATTCAGAAACGCCTCAATGCCCTGAAGTTACCTTGACGACAGTCTGTTCGGCGATGGTGCTGGGTCGTCGCTGGCGGGCGTCGAGCCTCTGTTCGACGGGGAAGCTGCAGCGATGGGCCTTTAGCCGCTCCACCAGCAGGTAATAGATAGCAGCAAAGTGGTTGTAGCTTTTGTTCTGCAGAGACTGGAGGATGACAGACAATATAAATGGTAGTGTCTGTGATGGAAGTTATGAGGATGACTTGAATGTGACAGCTCTTAAGATATGGTGAGATAATTCTTTAATTATCCCTGTATGAAACTGGGTTATTGCAGCCGCTGAAGAGCGGAGTGTTGATTAAAATACAATGCAGAGAATATGGAAGCTGACAAGGCAGCATACATTATATACAGCAGTTCAGATAACTTTCACTTTAATCACAACTTGATTTAGTAGTTCAAAAAGTGGTCCTCGAGAGTAAAAACAATCTCTTTCAATCAGGGCTGTAAAATATTTACATCGAGTCATGGCCAGAAGTTTACATACACATTTACATGGGCTTTTTAATGATATCTTTAAATTGTTTGTTTTCCAGGATGGAATGATTGTACAGCACACATCTTTAAGGACTTAAATAAATTCAAACCTGTGCACCTAATTCTTGTTTTTTTAAGTGCTTTGAGTTTCTAAAATATCATCACTTTACAAGCTCTATTAACTTCTAGTTAAATGGTAAATGGTAAATGGCCTGTATTTATATAGCGCTTTACTACCCTAAGGACCCCAAAGCGCTTTACATATCCAGTCATCCACCCATTCACACACACATTCACACACTGGTGATGGCAGCTACATTGTAGCCACAGCAGCCCTGGGGCGCACTGACAGAGGCGAGGCTGTCGGACACTGGCGCCACCGGGCCCTCTGACCACCACCAGTAGGCAACGGGTGAAGTTCTTGCCCAAGGACACAACAACCGAGACTGTCCAAGCCGGGGCGCGAACCGGCAACCTTCCGATTACAAGGCGAACTCCCAACTCTTGAGCCACAATCGCCCCAGTTAGTGATCATAATCGACTACATCTGGTATTTTCTCTTTGTGATAACATGGATTTATTCGACTCATTGTACTGATCAATACTCTGAGCAATGGGAAAGTCCACAGAACTCAATGATGATCTCAGAAATAAAATTGTATTCTTATTAATAAGTGCCACAAATTTGACATCTTTAACTGAAATTTGCAGCTTTCCCCATGGACAAGCCAAATACCTTCTGGGGAATGTTTTATGGTCAGAAAATAAACAATTAATTGAACCCTACTAATTCTGCCAAGAAGATTTGTCAAATATCCAGCCAGAAGCTTGTTGATGGCTACCAAAAACTTCTGGTCCAGTCGCAAGTTGCTAAGGGACATTTAACCACATATTACTAGTGCTGTATTTGTGTATTTGAGTCTAAATAATTTTGACCGTGGGTGGATTAGAGAAAATCAAGAATAAATTCAAACTTGTGCTCCCAATTCTTGTTTTTAAGGTCATTTAAGATTAGAGCTGGGCGATAGAACGATAACGATATGTATCGCGATATAACTTTTACTCGATAGAGAAATTAAGCTATCGCGATAGACCTCGCCGCTCTTGTCCTCAAAAAAAAAAAAAAAAAAAAAAAAAAAAAAAAAAAAAAGGTCAGCCAATCCAAATTAAGTAGCGCAGAGCCGAACCAATCACAGCCGCAGCTTGTTACGTACAGCACAAGTGCCAAGCCGCACGTGTGTTTGTTTGGGAAGCAGCCAGCGCGTAATGGAGGAAATGAGTGTGCCGACTAGAAAAATCAACCGAGCGTGACCGAAGAGAAAACAGATGATGGTTCCAACGCCGGAGAGATTGTCGAACGGAAGAGCCATAGAAGTTCGTAGTGTGAAGGTATTTCGGCTATTTCAAGTCTGACAAAAAACAGAGTAGCGTGCACTGTAAATTGTGCCGAAAGCAAGTCTGGAAATACAATAAACTGGTGCATGCGTCACACTGTGCGCCACGTTATTGTTTCGGTGAAATGAATTTCTACAATACTGTTACTGTTAATTCTACTCTCTGCAGTGTTTAAATGCTTACATATACACACAGTTACTGTCCGTCCACACATACGACTATGCCCCAGCTTTGTTTACTTTTTAGAATTAATATTTTGTTTCTAAGTGGAATTGACAATTTAGTCTGTTTCGTTTGTTCTATTTTGAAACTTAAACGCTTTAGCGGCTGCCTTTTGTGTAGTTTGCAATATTTGCCTTTATTTATCTGAAAAAGTCTCATGTTCCTTAAGTACATCTACCCTGTTGAACTTATTATGGGAAATAAATATTTAAATAAAAACAAGCTGCTGATTATTTCACATTTTACTTGTGAGCAACGGCACATTTAAATCTTACAAATATAGTTATTTGGCTTATATCGTGATAGATATCGTTATCGCCTGAAATGAAAAAACATATCGTGATATGAAAAAATCTCATATCGCCCAGCTCTATTTAAGATGTATGCTGTACAATCATTCCATCAAGGAAAAAAAAAAGAACAGTTTAAAGAAATGATTAAAAGCACAAAATTAGCATTTGCATTTATGCCCATGTTGAATGTGTGTGAATACCTTAACACAACTGTACTGTGACTGCTGAATAGTGGAAAATTAGTTCAGAAGTGTGCATGTTCTTTACGCCAATGAAGTAATTGATAAATTTAATTTCTTAGCAAGAGAAGGGTTGAAGAGAGGATCGCAATGAAATTATACCATTTAGTCGAGATAGGCAATTACCCAAAATACCCAATTATGGACCCACTATTAAATCTTTCCTTGGATCACAATGAGGAACCCTTTTCCCCCCTACTTTTATCAGTTTAAGTAGTTTACTGCTAAACTCTCAGCTTTATCATGCAGCCTAGTGAAATATATCTGTTACCTGCAAAGTTAGAGTTATGCTTATCTATTGCCCACTATCATTATTATCGCCTCCTCCACAGTCTAAAGACATGACCTTTAAACCTCACACATTTACACTATAATTCAACTTAAAGAAAAACAACAACAACTTCCTTCTTGTTCTGTTCTCACCTCTATAGTCTTGTGCTGGTCGATACCGAGGCTGTGCATCAACCGAAGGACCTGTTCACTGTATTCTCCTACACCGGCCTCACCCTCAGAGGACAGAGGCTGTTGGTACAGTACTGGCCTCTGTATAGGAACATCCAGAGTCATCCACTTGTGTTCCTTAATCTGGGCCACAGAGAGACGCTTTGACGGGTCCAAGACCAACATTCTGCGGATCAGGTGCTCACAGTCTATGAGGGATGGGAAGAGCAATCAGTCAGGATTTTTTTTTTTTTATGATCAGAAAATGTTCCTTTATGTTTGGTTAATGCTAAGTACTTCTTGTAAATATAATGACGCAAAGCCTCAAAGCCTCATGCCCTTATCAAAGTAGCCCAGATGAAGTGGGGCAGAAATAACACTTTAAGAGCTTAAAATCTGCTAAGTTCTTTTCTTAGGTTCTCCTGCCGTCACATCTGAACAGCGTGACTACACTCCTTTCTACTTTCCTTCCCTCCTAATGAGAGCTCCTCACCTCTAGTTAGAGGCTAGATGAGTTTGACGTCAGACACAGCTGGGTTCTTAACAGGATTACAGCTCCCCTGGCTGTGCTGCTTTGGCCTGACTGCACCCCTACTGCCTGCAGTGCATTCCTGCCTACCAGACAGCAACATTACACATCTACTTGACTGCAGTAATCTTAAAGCAAAACAGGCAAGCTTTCATCAAATAAGCCCTGCAATTGGTCATTATTATTTTTGAAATTAATCACTCCTATTTTGTAGCATTTATATTAAAAAAAAAAAAAAAAATCTAAACATGACGACTGAAGTATTTCACATTCTCAGGAGTAGTTGTCATATTATCTTTTTACTTTAGCAAACAAACATCTCAGATACAAATATGCCAAAATCGAGTTTTCAAAGAGAATCTGATTTTCGGAACATTTTCCTCCGCCCATCACCTTCAGCAGATATCCTGTGAAGAGAGACCCTCAGCAGTTCATAAACACAGAGCCCAAGGACCTGTCTGCTAACATTAACTCCCTGCTGCACATTCTTCTCAGTTGCCCTGCTGATCTACTAACATCTGCTTACATCTCACATTTTTTTCCCCTTCTACCTCGTGCCTGGTAGTGCAGCCAACTCAATTTTCTCCTCATTATGTGCATAACCAGCACGTCCTTCAATGCATTTCTACTACACGCTGTGGCCACTTAGCAGCTTGTGCAGCTGCTAACTTACAAAGTTACATTTTGAATAAAACGCGGCACAATGCACTACAATTTGTCTGAGTCTCTGCCTGTTGCTACAGGTGAGCTTCTGCTAACCACCAGGAAAGGTCAGACTACATGTAAAGGGGGTGAGAACGCATGCCCGTGTAGCTGACTGCCTGAGCGACAGTCTGTTCTTATCCAGTGCCTTACACCACCATGACTTAACCGCAGAACAATCCCAGTTTTAACACTTGCAGTGCTGGAGTCGTGTAGAGTTTCCAATAAAGAAGAACTGCAATGGATTTAAGAGCAAGTAATCGTTTTAGATATCATTGATTTTTATCTCACAGGTAATATCCCAATATTTTAACCACCATCAAACATGACTGAACATACAGAACGATTACAAGCTGCTATGCTACCTCAACATACACACATTCCTCTGCTCAATGGTGTTCTGCCCTAAAGAAAGGGAAGCAGCTACACATAGGTAGCTATTACATGTAAATATGATAGCCCTCTAAAACTAGCATTTAAAAGATGACCTTAGTTTTTGCTGACCAAAGAATACTCAAACAGGCCAACAAGCCTTAAAAAATGACATCTTTTACAGATATTAAGTCACTAAGTAAGTCGCTGGCTATGAGGTTAACCACAACATGTACAGTGTGTGGTCCAAACCTGTGTTGTGCACTATAGTGTCGGCCAGTGCGAGCAACTGGAGGAAATAAGACGGACCGTTTCTGGATAAAGAAATCAGCACACTATGTTCTCCTTGTTCGCAGAACAGGGGCTGAACTGGGGGTGGGTAGGCGGGTTCGAGTGTCAGTCTGGTCAGGGAGCTGACATTACACTCCTACATTCCCCGTATGTCTTAATTGTTTCAAGGTCCCGAACAGCAAGAAGGAGGAGG